GATTAAAAAATAGAGTCTCATGGTATTGGGGGCGCTATATTAAGCTGGATTAGGGCATGGCTATACCAAAGGAAACAGAGAGTTAGTATAAATGGAATCAAGTCAGAGTGGGAAAATGTTGTAAGTGGAGTGCCTCAAGGCTCTGTCCTGGGACCTCTGTTGGTTATAATATATATAAATGATTTAGATTCAGGTTTGAGTAGCAACATTTGCAAATTTGCCGATGATACGAAAATCGGTAGGGAAATTAATTCGGAGGAGGACTCACTATCACTTCAAGTTGATCTAGATAGGGTTTTGAAATGGTCAAAGGATTGGCAGATGCAGTTTAATGCTGATAAATGTAAAGTTCTGAGGTTAGGTAATGATGATAGAGTTACAAGATACGAGCTAGATGGTGTTGTGATTGCGAAGTCGGATTGCGAAAGGGATCTGGGAGTTATGATTAGTAAGAATTTAAAACAAAAGGATCAATGCATAATGTTCGTAATAAGGCAAATCGGACACTTGGATTTATTAATCGCAGCGTTAGTAACAAGACACCTGGTGTGGTTCTCAAGCTATATCTTGCTCTAGTTAGGCCCCATTTAGATTATGCAGTTCAGTTTTGGTCGCCATATTATAGAATGGATATAAATTCACTTGAACGTGTCCAGCGTAGGATGACTAAGTTAATTCCCCAAATTAGAAATCTTTCATATGAAGAAAGATTAACAAAGCTTAAGTTGCATTCACTGGAAAGGCGAAGAGTTAGGGGTGACATGATAGAGGTTTACAAGTGGATGAATGGACATAACCGGGGGGATATTAATAGGGTATTAAAAGTATCAACACAGGACAGAACACGAAACAATGGATATAAATTGGATAAGTTTAGATTTAGGAAAGACTTGGGTAAATACTGGTTCAGTAACAGGGTTGTTGATTTGTGGAACCAATTGCCGCGTAACATTGTGGAGGTGGGGTCCCTCGATTGTTTCAAGCACGGGTTGGACAAGTATATGAGTGGGATTGGGTGGTTATAGAATAGGAGCTGCCTCGTATGGGCCAATAGGCCTTCTGCAGTTACCTTTGTTCTTATGTTATGTTCTTATGTTCAAGACAATCAAAATGGATCATATAACAATGTTGACGATAACGTACCGTCTTGGAAAGCCGCTGTTGCGTGTTAAACAAGTTACAGCATTGACGAACTTTAGTTACATGTAGTTTATTAATGTTTATCAGCTCATTCTCTTAATTCCCTCTCCGTAAAAAATGTAGTGGTTTAGCCTAACCAAAAGCTTAAAAAAAAAAACTAACCCGGAACCGATACTTATCAGTCCCAGGAAGCGACATTATTTAGGCGTTTTTAATTTCCTTAAACCAGCACAAATTTTACGATAGTTACGATTACGTTAAAAATTGAGTGCGTTCAGTAAAATGACGAGTTGCAGGTGATCGTTTATGATCCTGACAAATGGGAATAAAATGATCCTGAGGTAGCAATCCAAATTAAAGTTTTAAGTTCATCATATCTGTGACATAATATAACTTTGTTACGTGATGTTTATTTATAAGGGTAATTTTCCTCCACCTAATGGCGATAATAATTTGCTTTCTCTTGTCTAATCCTTTTGGGAATAAAAGGTTGGGATTCCATGTCCAGATGAGGTGATGGTTTAACACGCTGGGGAAACCAGATTGATGATGAAGATTAAACCACCCAAGAGGTGGCACGGGCATGAATAGCCCATAAGGGAAACCAGGTATGGACGAGTCTGTGATTTGTGTGCGAGTGTAGGAACTTGCACCACCTCACTTCTTCCTCAGTGAGGAAGCTCGTATATATATGTCTATGATGAGAACAGTAGTTTGTATTAGTTTATGGTTGTCTAGGATAGGATATCCTCTCCTAATATAGGATAGGATAGAAAATTATTCATTTTCATAGTTCTCACTTTCTGCCTCTTTATGTATCAGTTTTGCATTTGATCTTACAACTCAAGGCGTTGCTCAGTCCCTTTCATTGCATTCAGCTTTACCTCAAACTGCTTGCGAAGCTTCCCCAGCGCACTTAAATCGAGTATGTGCGTCTCGTTTAGCTGCAGCTTCTGTTGCGCCTTCATCACCATTTCAAGGTTTAACTGCAGCCGCTCTTATTATAGATGTAGGCTCTAACAACCTCCGTTCCGTAGGTCCCACACACCCCTGGAAGAAATACCCACGTAGGAGCTGCCGGCTGGGTTCTTAGTATCAACCCTCACCTGGGAGTGACCCCTGGTGGGGTAAGGAGGGGAGGCGTGGGCTCTCGGGGTGATGACCTTGAACTGAGAGAGTTTAAGTTTGCAGCTTCGGTTACCGCTGTCCGTGGCTGCCGTAATGCTGGCCAAGCACTGTCTGAAGGCGGCAGGCACCAACCCTCACAGGAGCGACTTTAAACGTGCATTGTGGCTCCAGCGTTTACATTTATAACTTTTTTGTTGTGAATTTCAAAGAGTGACTATAAATAATTGTATAAATTAATTTTATTATAAAAACTAATTCTATTATTTGCATAAATTATTATATAAATTATTGCAAATTAATGATTATAAATAAACGAATTATTATAAATACAAATATAAATTATTTTAAATAAATGACAGGATGGATAATAAGGAGGGTTGAACCCATCCTCATAGGGCATGTATACATTACCTTCATAAAACTCCTAGTCTGTTCATTATATTAATAGTACCAAAATGCATTACATAATGGATCAAGATGGATTCAACGGGGAGGATGGACACATTAAAATCACTAGGTCAGTTCATAAGAGTATTTTCTAAATAGTAACACACAATTCACAGAAAACTAAAGTAAATTTTTTTTATATCCCCGACCTCCCAGCCCCTCCCTTGATCAAGAGCTTCTGTGGGGGGAGGGGGGGTAGAGCGACGGTCTCGCTTTCTGCAGGTCAACGTTCAATCCCCGACCGTCCAAGTGGTTGGACACCGTTCCTTCCCCCCCGTCCCATCCCAAATCCTTATCCTGACCCCTTCCAAGTGTTATATAGTCGTAATGGCTTGGAGCTTTGCCCTGATAATTCCCTTTCCTTCTGGAGGGAGGGGGACTTACTATTTACTTTTAAACAATGGTTGATCGTTGAGAACAGCCATTTTTAACACTAAACAACTCTTAAATTAGGTCTGTAATGAAGTATTCACAATTAGTTTGGGATTCCTATCTACAAATTTATGTTAGTTACATCAAATTCAAGAAAAGGCAACATAATTGTTCAGAAGCAAAGTTAATCCATTCAAGTCAGTGCCCAGAATGTGCATATTTTACAATGTTGACACTATGTATTCAGGCTTCTTCACGACTCCCTCCCTCAAGTGTAAACAACTGAACAAGAGAAGCCACAATTAAGTGACCGCCAGACATCTGTTCCCTTTGTATGAACCGACCAATTTCAACGCTCATATCAAAAATTGGCAATCAAAACATAGTTACTTCAACAATCTAAACATTTTGTAAATGATTGCTAATAACACAAAATGGTATTCAATAAATTTCATATATGCCGCACTGCTACAGTTAACTGTAAAACTGTCTAAATCCCTGGTGCGCTCCCACTTGCATTATTGTCTCCAAGCATGGAAAACATTTTAAGACAGACGTCTGCTTTGGAGAAAGTACAACACCGGGCTACAACAATTATTCTTACAACTTACAACTATTACAACTACAAGAACAGTTGTAGGCCTAAGGGTTAAAACAACGATGTAAACCCGACATAACAGGGCTAATATGGAAACTTAAATTATGAATAATTTGGTGAATATTGATAGAGACTACTGTTTTAAAAGGTCAGATATAACTTAAACAAGGAGCAGCAGCAGTTTCAAGCTCAACAAGCCACAATATAGGATAGAAAACGGGATATGCTTTTTCACCCATAGAGATAAACCTATGGAACCGCCTACCCACTGAAGCCGTAAATGCCAAAACAATGCTGAAATTTACAATCCAGCTTGATAAAATCATCAGGACAAATGGGGGAAACCTTTGACAAACCGCTAGCTACCTGTCCTCGTCGAGGCCACTAAAGAGATGGTGGCCCCTCTGATCAATTCAGGTAACGTGTAAAAATAACTACAAATAAATTTAATGCAGAAACGCCGCTCGTCAGTAAGTAGGCATTGTGCCCTTTATCTCACAAATATCTTTGATTACAAATTAAACTAAATAGGAACTATTTTTTTATTACAACTTTGAAGGCGTCTTACTTATCTATACAATGCCCTGCCCGAAACGCTTTGCGTAATAGTGGCTTATAGGCATTGTATGTACTAGCTCTATCTATAAATCTATCAATTTTTGTAAAATCTCTTGTATGTATGTACCTTACCTGAATAAACATTTATAAATTTATTTATTTATTTATTTATTTAATGATTTGCGAATTTCCCACCTACTGCTTTCAGTTTAGCAGTGTCCATCTGACCCTTCACGTGCTCTATCGCTTATTTTGCATTAAAGCATGTTGAGTTTATTCTATAAAGGAAAGGCGCCGTGCAACTTATCATGGCATCAGCCCAACAATTCCTGCCGGATGTGATGCTGCCTCGCCGTGTAATATGCTGCCGTGCCAGCCGCACGATCTTAACCGCCAAAATATTCGTCCACCCTTTATTTTTATCTTTCCCTCACTTGATCTTAATTTTCTTGCAGTTACTTTCGGTTGCTTTTCTGCACATATCTATTTTTTTCTACAACCAATTTCTATCTCAATTAATCCTTATTCACCGTAAGACAATTTTAGCATTACATTTCCTTCAAGTTTGCAAATCCCTTTCGTTTCAATATTTGTCAATCCTCAATCCTTGTAATATTTTCTCTATACTCTTCACGTTCCTTATTTATTACTCGATATTCAATATGGTGTCAAGTAGAAATCGTACGTTGGGCGGTGTATGGCAGTTGACACAACATATATAAAACAGGGAACCAAGGCGGGCAGCAGCACTATTGATTGAGGATGCGCGGGGTCGACACGTCAGTAATCCTCCTGAGCCTCTTCCCACTCATAAGTCAGCCTTGTTATGGCACACTTGATATTGTCTTCAAAACGTGTTCGTTGTTTCGTGAGAATTAGTGGACCTTAATCTCCATTCTTCAGAATTGTAATATGTACTAAAGTAATTCTATTCTTAAATGTTAAGTAAGAGAGAATATATGGTTTTTAATTCATATTAAATGTACTTTTTAATATCACTGGTTGCAAGTGATAGAAGCATTTTCACTTGTTTCAAGCGTAATAAACTTAAGTACTATATCTTGAAAAAATGAAAATGGGTTACAAGTTATCTGAATATTTAAATAAAAGGTGAACTTTGTTTTTAGGAACAAAAAGTTAAACGTTAATTAAGTGCATCGGAGGTTAACGGGCCGTGTCATCAACTATCACGGAATTGCAATCATCAATTGACACGTGTTGCTGTCATACGCTCCCACGCGTAGTTGTCATCAAGTGGCACGGAGTTATCATCATCATCATCATTCAAGCATTCAGGTGAACTGCAGCAGGAGACACGCACATTAAATAAACTATCTGGTAAGTTCCTCATTGTATATATAGTTGAGCATAGAATTGCGTCACACTCCAGAGTGTTGAACTGCACGTGTTCGAGCATGGCAGTTATATATATAATCTCTCTCTCTCTCTCTCTCACTCAACCACTTGGGATGGACGGTAGAGCGACGGTCTCGCTTCATGCAGATCGGCGTTCAATCCCCGACCGTCCAAGTGGTTGGTGCACCATTCCTTTCCCCCGTCCCATCCCAAATCCTTATCCTGACCCCTTCCCAGTGCTATATAGTCGTAATGGCTTGGCGCTTTTCCTTGATAATTCCTTCCTTCTTTCTCTCTCTCTCTCTCTCTCTCTCCGTCCTCACCCCTTTGTCCCGTTCCATTGTTCAGATCCTTCCCATTTCAATCCCTCTCCTGTGTTCACGTCGCTTCTCTTCCTTCACGTTATCCCCGCCCCCCCCCCGTAAACGGTGACCTCCGCCACCTAGCATCACCACAACACTGGCCTGCTGCTGCTGCATGGTGATCAACACAGCCGTTGCATGGTGATCAACGCAGCCGGCTCACAAGGTCGAGTGATCGCTAGGTTGTTTTTGTTCGCAGTATTTGTTCGCGCGACAAATAATTTTGTCGCGCGATGTTTTGGAATGATTCCTTACACCCGCTGACTTTCTTCTTCTTGGTAGTAGGTGCAGTTTGCATGAAGGGTTTGTCCTCCCGATGACTGCACCAGTACAGATGTTGGTAGAGGCGTTTATGTTGAGGATGATAACAGTTTCAAAAGTGCTTGTTGCGTTGTGCTGTAGACAGAAGAGCGGCGACTAGAAAAGAGGTGTATGTTAGAGGAAGACTTGCCGCACCGTAGGGCGGTGTGTTGTGTTTATGGCGTCAGCTGATCCATGGTGTTGCGACGAGGCAGTTGTTTTCTGTGTTTAGCTGTTGGTGGCGCCAGGTATAAATGTGGCGCTGACTTTGATCAACTAGAAGTAAATAGGTACCCCGGGAGTTAGGCAACTGTTGTGGGTTGCATCCTGGGGTAGTAGCTGGCCTAGTGAGACCTTAACTTGCGGTTACCTTGAGTTGATTCGGGGATCAACGACCCCACGGCCCGGCTTCTGACCAGGCCTCCTGGTCAGTCTTCCTTAAACAGTCCTTGAACAGTCTCCCTGTCCCGACAGTGGTAAGTCATATGACGTCAGGCTCGATCTAGTTTGTAAAAGCAGCAGTTTCATGATGGTTATTCATGTACAATACTCGTCAAATTATCCTTGTTAATGCTGTGGTGTCAGTGGTTCATCTTGCACGTAGCTGTCTCACGGCGCTACACATGACTAACGACCTTTAAGAATCCTGCAGTTAAGGCGAGAAATTCCAGAATTAGTTGAAGACTCTCGAACGGGTGCTCAACCTTACAGAGATGCTAGTCATTCAAAACACTTTGGAACATGCTCTTGTTGAACAACGACAACACGTTATTGTACATACAGTTGCGGGCTCACCATAGCCCGTGCTGCTTGGGACTTTTTGTTCCAGGTAGCGAATCTTTAACAATATGTACATACAGATTAGAGAACTGCCACTGAAACCTGTTGTTGTTTAAGATTCAGCTACTGGTAACAAAAAGTTCCAAGTATCACGGGCTATGGTGAGCCCGTAGTGGACTTACCTGGCACAGGGCTGTAACTCTACTGAAACCCTGTAACAAGAATACTTATATGACACCGTCCATCTGACCACAAGTTATAGTATTAAACAAATACTTTAATACCCCACAAAAACGTCTAGGTCGTCGAATACATATCAACTGGGTGTCAAGTCATGTAGGAATACCAGGGAATGACACTGTAAGAGGTTATCTTGAGATGATTTCGGGGCTTTTAGTGTCCCCGCGGCCCCGGTTCTCGACCAAACCTCCACCCCCAGGAAACAGCCCGTGACAGCTGACTAACACCCAGGTACCTATTTTACTGCTAGGTAACAGGGGCATAGGGTGAAAGAAACTCTGCCCCCGTATAGTTTCTTTCTTGTGTTTCACTTTTTTATAGGTGAAACACAAGTAAATCACAGTAACGTAAAATATCTATGAACATATCTTTGGAGCATAACGACGGGACCAATCCCGCCGTCTTGCTATCCCGACGGGATCAATCCAGGATATGTAAAAGGGCGTCGAACAGCTGGGAGTGATCATCGTATCTGCTGGCGATTTCAGCTTATATCTGTCGGTAATAATGAGTATTGGCAGTTAATATGATATATGTCAGTTAAATGTATGCCATTAGTGAGTATTGTCAGTTAATAGCACATGCATGTTAAATGAGTAATGAGATGTTAATGATTTAGACTAATGAGTATTAATGTCAGTTAATGTCAGAATAATGAGTTCTATCAGTATTAATTTACATTTATTTAACCTTCCATGATTTTTTTGTAAATATTTTCACACGATAACAAAAACAGTTGGATTAGCGTCTTTAATTGACATTAAAGTAAGGTTAGTTTTTTGTTGTGATGAGTGAGTGATGAGTGTGTGATGAGTGACAGATGGCAAATTATGGGTGGAAGAGTCTTTGAGAGGTGCGTCTCTAGCATCGCTTTCATATTTTATAAAGGAAAAGTTATGCAGGCGATGATTTCACAATAACGTGGCTGAAGTATGTTGACCAGACCACACACTAGAAGGTGAAGGGACGACGACGTTCCGGTCCGTCCTGGACCATTCTCAAGTCGATTGTAAATGGTCCAGGACGGACCGAAACGTCGTCGTCCCTTCACCTTCTAGTCTGTGGTCTGGTCAACTGGAAAAGTTATGCTCTTCGGGGAAAAACACATCATCTAAATCTCCAGTTTTTCGCCTCCCACCCTTAGCAAACCTTTTGATCAAGAAAACGCTTCAAATATCACATTCCCTCTTTGGCTTGGTAATGTTTCACCCGGTATTAGACGCTGTGTAATTAACCTAGAACATTTTTCTTGCACACACAATACATGACCATTTCCCGTCATAGATCGCCATATTTTGAACTTTTTATTACCTTAATTATGTTCGAAATATGAACACATTTCGAATCGATGTGTGCACTTACTCTAGTACTCTACTGTGCCGTCCAGGTGAACCTTCCTTCAACTCCAATTATGTTTTTTTTTCTACACAAATACACCACAGTGTATTCGTGGGTGTATTGTGTTGAAGCCTCTGGTAGTGTCTAACACTACTGAAGACTAACCGCCCTCGGCGACATTCAGAATTACTGTATATAAGTGCAACATTGCGTCTTGTCTCATGTCGAGTTTTTCTGACACAGGCGACAACGTAACTGCCACTTCAAGGCCCTCATACTTAACTCACTTTTGCCTTTGTGGTCCAAGAGCACGCGAGGCTGCCTCGGCCTGTTCTCTCACTCCCTAGAGAGCGCCTGGAACCACAATGAACCATCTGGGGGGTAGAAATAGCCTAAGCTACTCTATCCCTTTGAGATGTATTTCTTTCTTATCTCAATAAACATACTTGAACTTGAACCATCTGGAATTCCTACAACAATTCCGTGCCCCTCGAAAAACATGCGCCTCTGTACCACTGTCCACCCCAATCAACGGGACCGGTATGGGGTGCATAACAAATGACTAAAACTAATTAACTATATATTGAAAGGATCAACTGACAAGACCTAGCTTTGAGACTACACAATATTACATTTAGTCGTACGAGACTATGCCACACCACCTTACATTTTCAGACCTCTTTGTCATTTTAATCACGCCAAGTTCACTCTCAATGATTGGGAATGCGCCATAATTCTTTATCATTTAAAACCTGTCTGCCCTGTGATTATGGTTTCCTGTTGTCGGGGACAAGAAGCCTGCTAGCATTATCCAGGTCGCCATGGCCTAGACCACGAATGACCTTCCGCCAGGATGCAACCCACAAGAGCCTCCTAACTCCCGGGTATCTATTTACTATTAGGTGAACAGATGCATCAAGTGAAAGGAAACGGGATGGGTATGGGCCCACTACCGACCACAGGACAGGTATGGGGTGCATAATAAAGAACTAAACATTTAGTTCTCAGAATCTTTGTAATGTCGTAGCCTAGTGTCGAATTAAGGAGCATAATGTTAGTACATTGTTCATCTGGTAATTTCCATACTAATGTTCTCGGAGTTTCGCTTGACCTTGGAGTGTGAAACTGGAAGCAAGATAGTGTTCAAATTCAAATTCAAAAAATGGCGGGATGGATGCCATGTCATCTCTCATCACAGCTGTCACCTTCACGGCTTCATAACATCCAGCTGTGTACACAATAACGACATCAACATCACCGTTTGCATGCAATATTTCCACTCCAACGGTTTCAAACATTTTTCACCAACAGTTTGATCAGTTTTTTTTTTTTCAAATTTCAAATTTTGAATTTTGAATGTTTATGTTGTTGTTGCTATCAAGACAATTGTCGTTGCTAATCATCGTCTCGCTGAATGTGACTCATTACCATACATCCAGCAATGCACAGTTGGCTCACTGGTCCATCATCATAACCTTTGTATACTTTCTGTATTTTTGCTTTTCAATCTACATACATTTTCCAGATTTGCTCGTAGCTACATTATCTTATTCACTATTGACAGCGCGTAGCTACGATCTGTTGGTCACGGGAACCAGTGACCGTATCTAAGTCCTTCTGGTTATGGGCACAATAGCTCGTAGCTACGACCTCTTGGCAATGGCAACCAAGTCAAGAGGTTTAATTAACAGTCCTTGTGGTGCAGTGGTAACACACTCGTCCGGCGCTTCGCGAGCACTTTGGCCTGGGTTCGTAGCCTGGCCGGGGAGGATTGACCGGGTGCCAATCCTTATCTCTGACCAGCTAAATGTGAAGTCTACCTCATTTTCCAGTATTTTTGTGGATAACCTTTTTTTTATCAGTTCCTACGCATCGTCTTAATTATTTTCATTCAATACCTCTCATCGGAATGTTATCTTTTTCAACACGTTATCGCCAAAAGGATTTATATTCAGTCAACAA